AGTCAGTGCTCAGTTTCTTCACATTCACCCTTAGGTGCGTCTGATCATGGTTTGGTCTCTCTAAAACTATTATCTCATTCTTCTTCACCATTAGAATCCCCCTATCATCGTACATCTTACAACTACCTTAAAGCTGACTGGGACTCTTTTCGTGGCTTTCTTTGTGATGGCCCCTGGGTAGAAATCTTTCGTCTTCCTGTTGACAAATGTGCTTCTTACATAACTTCGTGGATTCAGGCTGGCATGGAATCCTTTATTCCCTCTCGACGATTCCAGGTCAAGCCTCACTCTTCCCCATGGTTTTCTTCACATTGTGCTGCTGCAATTGCCAATCGAAACCATTACTTCCATATCTATCAGCAAAACAATTCTCCAGAAAACACACGTCTCTTTATTACTGCTAGGAACCATTGTAAAAAGGTTTTGTCTAACGCCAAAACCCGCTATTCTCAGATCATGAAATCTCGAATTTCATCACAAAAATTAGGCTCTCGTGACTTCTGGAGAATCTTTAATAGTATCAATAATAAGGGCAAGTCTGTAATTCCACCTCTTTTGTACGGTTCAGACTTTGTCACCTCACCTAAAGACAAAGCTGAATTGTTTGCCAAGAACTTTTCATCAATATCATCACTTGATGCCACTAGTTGCGTTTTACCTGATATACCCGTCAAACAGGTTGATCCATTGCTCAACATTCGTATCACTCCAGCTTCTGTATCTAAAGTGATTTCCCGCTTAGACTCTTCTACAGCTTGCGGCCTGGACAACATACCTGTTATAGTCTTGCAGAAGTGTTCTCCGGAGCTGTCGTCTATCCTTTCAAAACTATTCAACAAGTGCTTATCAGAGTCTTGTTTTCCAGCCTGCTGGAAAGCAGCATCTGTTATCCCTATTTTTAAAAATTCTGGAGAGCGATCTGACTCATCTAACTACCGTCCCATTAGTCTTCTTCCTATCATAAGCAAGGTTTTTGAATCTTTAATTAACAAACACTTAATCTCTCATCTCGAATCTCATAACCTACTTTGTGATCATCAGTATGGATTTCGATCTTCTTGTTGTACGGCTAATTTGCTATCAGTAATAACCGATAGGTTTTATCGCGCATTAGATAAAGGTGGAGAGGTTAAGGCCATTGCTCTTGACATTTCTAAAGCGTTTGATAAAGTTTGGCATGCTGGTCTCCTCCATAAGCTTTCTTCTTACGGTGTATCTGTAAACATCTTTAAGATAATTGAATCCTTCCTTTCCAATCATAGTATAAAAGTTGTCCTTGATGGACAGCACTCTTCTTCTTATTCTGTAACCTCAGGGGTTCCCCAAGGTTCAATCCTTGGCCCTATACTTTTTTTAATTTACATTAACGATCTTCCAGATATTCTCACATCTAAGGTGGCATTGTTCGCTGATGATACTACCATTTATTCTTGTCACGATAAGAAGCCAACTCCCTCTGATTGCTTGCAGGGGGCATCTGTGCTCGAAAAGGATCTCACTTCTGCTACAGCATGGGGCTCGCAGTGGCTGGTGAACTTTAATTCAGATAAAATTCAATTTTTTTCGGCCAATCGTTATCGCAATAGTTTAGACCTTCCTATATTTATGAACGGTATTGTACTCGATGAGTCTCCTACCCTTCATCTTCTAGGATTAACTCTTACTTCTGATCTTTCTTGGAAACCTTATATCAAATCTGTTGCTAAATTAGCATCTGCTAAAGTTGCTTCTCTTTATCGAGCTCGTCACTTTCTTACTCTGGATTCTATTCTCTATCTCTATAAATCTCAAATCCGGCCTTGTATGGAATACTGTTGCTATATCTGGGGCGGATCTTCTAATGATGCCCTTTCTCTTTTAGACAAGGTGCAAAAACGCATTGTAAACATAGTTGGACCTGCTCTTGCAGCCAACCATCAACCTCTGTCACATCGTCGTAATGTTGCTTCTCTTTCTCTTTTCTACAAATACTATAATGGGCACTGCTCTAAAGAGCTAGCGTCTCTTGTGCCATCTACTAAAATTCATTCTCGTGTTACTCGTCATTCAATTAAGTCTCATCCTTTTTCTGTTACTGTTCCTAAGTGCTCCAAAAACTCTTATTCGTCTAGTTTTTTTCCTCGAACATCAGTTCTTTGGAATTCGCTTCCTTCATCTTGCTTTCCTGATTCATATAATTTGCAATATTTTAAGTCGTCTGTCAATCGTTATCTTGCTCTACAATCTTCATCTTTTCTCTTCCAGTAACTTCCAACACTAATAAGTGGTTGCTTGCAACCTTGTTGGAAGCGAAGATAATTAAAAAAAAAAAAAAACTGTATGCTTTATTTTTCTAGTTTGATCTGATGACTTGTCATATTAATTAAAATATTAAATTTTAAGTCATTATTTTTAGTTATAATTAATTAAATTAATTAAAATGTTAAATTTTAAATCATTACTTTTAATATTAATAAAAATAATAATAGTAATAGTATGGTTATATAATGAGACTATATAGCATAATTTCAAGATCAACATAGATATTTTTTATTGAATTACAACTTGAAGTCCAAAAGCATTTTACAATTTAAAGTCCAAAAGCATTTCCAGATATTAAATTTGAGTCTTGTACAATCTTACAAAAAAAGGTAGAAATTTCTACCTTGCAATTTACGTACGAATTGCGTACGCCTAGAACAATTTGCATGAAGCAACTTTTGATATTTTTTTAACTTTTAAATTACTCTATTAAGCGGTAAGATTAAAGAAGTAATTAATTTTATAAAAAACCACTTTGACGATTATGTAAAAAGGTTTGAATGACAATTATGTTGGCTAATTACTAATGAAAAAAACTAAAAGTGCTATTTACTAATGAAAAAAATTAAAATACAAAAACTTAATCGCTATTAAGCTAATTATTTTATCGAACAGAAAACAAAGTTGTTTATAGTAACAATTATTGTTTTTGTTTTTATGTGAATTTATTAAAAAAATAAAAGGAAACATAAAAGAAATATATATATAATAAAAACTTTTATTTATCATTTTGAGAGGACAAGAATTGTTTATGTAACTTTAGCTTGCTTAAAAAAACTTTTTTAAATTTCTTTTCTATAGTAATAAATAATTTCCACTTAATTTTTTTTTTGTAATTGATTTTTTTTGAAAAATGGTAATGCTTTAAGCTTGAAGCAAAGATCATTATAACGTAATTTATCTTTGATAAAAAAATAAATGATCAAATTCAAAACTAATTTAACAAAAATATATAATTTTATTCTGATAAAAAAAAAATTAATTTAGTTTAGATTTAAAAACTATATAATTAAATTTTGATATAAAAAATATATTTAAGTTTATTTATATTAAAGTCAATGCTTGGGTTTAACTTAACTGTCATATTTTTTTTAATATTACTAAATATTATTCAATATTTGAATTTAATTTGTTCTTAAAAGGAAATTAGTTCATTTTTATCGCAATTGTTTTTTCGGTTTTCCTTCCAAAATATTTTTTTATTACTCACAATTAAATTTTAAATAAATGGCTGCACCAAAAATTTGCACAAAATGTAAGTTAAACTTTTTTTTTTTTTATAACTCACAGCAATTATTTTTTAATAAATGTTGTTTGAAAAAATAATCTTTGCTTTCACAACAAAATCGTTTATAAGATAATAAACTTTTAATAAAGAAAAGTAAATAAATTAACGTAATTTTTTTATGTTACTCGCTAATTTTTTTAAAATAAAAAATCTTTTTTAGTTGCAATTTTTTTTTTTTGAAATTAACATATTTTAATTAATTTATACAAATGTTGATGAAAATAATTTTTTACATGAAAATTTTTTTTAATTTAATATCAAATTTAATTAATATTAAAAAAATGAAGGAAATAAACATTTTGTAATAATAAAAAACAAGTTGAACAATATTTAATTCGTTTTGTGGTAATCTTAATATTGTTGCAGTAGTTTAAAAAAGTTTAAAAAAATTAAAAGATAAAGAGAATTTTATGGCGTTAAATTCACATTAAGCTGATGCGTTACACATTTGTTATTTAAAACAAGGCCTAAAGTTGTATCCTTATTTTTGATATTAATTTCTACCTTGGAAATTAAAAATTTATACCTTACTAAGAGTATATGACATATCCTACCCTAACGTAAAAATTTTTATCTTTTTTTTTAGAGTGTAATATATGGTTAAAAAAATATTTAGTAGAGGTTTATTATCTAAATTTTAAAAGTTTAAAAAAGAATGAATAAAAAGTATATAAAAAAGCAAGCTTCTCTTTTGATCTGTCATAGATAAAATTTTGCTTAGTCTAAGCTTTTTTTTTTTTTACTTTTTAAAAAAATTAAATATCAAACTCATGAACTTGTGACAAAAATTGATGTTCAAGACCCTTGAACATCAAGTTGGTCCCTAATATTATTGGAAAAAAGGACCTGCCAAATATTAAAGGGTCTTGAGCAACCCCTTAAAATATTATATATTTATGATTAAATATTATATTAAATATTTATGATTAAATATTGATATTTATGGAATCATATGCTTCTTTTTGTAGTTTATGCTTTTAGTTTAGAAAGAACCATATACTACTGCCTAATTAAGATTAAATTAGTTTGTGGTAGTTTATGCTTCTTCTGCAAAAAACAAGTTTGTTTCATTTTGAATTGTAACATACATTGATAAATGACCTCATTATAATAAAGAATTACATTGATTACCTGAGTTAAATGGTTTTTGTGTAATTGGTTTTGTTTTAATGCCATTTTTTTAATGTTTCAAAAACTTGTCTTTATCTTTTCTAAACCAAAAATAAAAACTCTAGTTGGGCATTCATTACTTTGTGTTTTACTTTACTTGGGTTTGATAGATTTTAAGCATTTTTAATAATTAATACGCTTTTTTTAACCCTTTTGTTATTTTGCAATTGGTTATAATAATAATTATAAAATGATTTTAAAAAAATAAATGTTGAATTTCTTTGAACTAATTTTTTTTTAGTTTGCTGTGGGATTTCAAAGGCTCAAAGGTAAACGATGTTTGTTTCCATTTGGATTTCATTGTACTGGAATGCCTATAAAGGTAAATGGTTAATGCGTAATAAGTTGAATAAGTTATATAAATATATATACATATACTTAATATATATATTGTGCATGTATGTATATATATATATATATATATATATATATATATATATATATATATATATATATATATATATATATATATATATATATATATATATATATATATATATATATACTCTTGCATGTCTCTTGCGTAGCATCAAAAAATATTTCCTATAAACTGTAGTTTTAAAGAGCGCGTTAATAAACCAGACCAGAAAAAGTTTTAAAAATTAAATTTTTTTTTTTAATTGATAGACTGCCTGGCCAAACCAAACCCTCAGTCGATGTAGCAGCACTCTCTTGCGAGTCAGGCTATTTGTCAGTCGTTGTAGCAGCACTCCCTTGCGAGTCAGGCTATTTGTCAGTCGATGTAGCAGCATTCCCCTGCAAGTCAGGCTATTTGTCAGTCGATGTAGCAGCACTCCGTTGCGAGTCAGGCTATTTGTCAGTCGATGTAGCAGCACTCCGTTGCGAGTCAGGCTATTTGTCAGTCGATGTAGCAGCACTCCGTTGCGAGTCAGGCTATAAGATAGTCGATGTAGCAACATTTACACATGTTTAAAAAATGTTTTTTATTAAATCAATAACAAAAACACCACTAATTAAAAAAAACTTTCTAGTCGTTATAATTGCGGTTTTTTAAAAATTTTTTAAAAAACAATTAAATTTAATGTACTTCCGCATAAATTAATTGCTTTGACATTTCGATGACAATCAAAAACAGCTTAAGAGACGAGGTAATTAAAATTGTAGTCGTAAGAGACTTTTTTTACAAAAAAATGCTCTTAAAGCGACACTATATGAGTATATATATATATATATATATATATATATATATATATATATATATATATATATATATATATATATATATATTATATATATATATATATATATATATATATATATATATATATATATATATATATATATATATATATATATATATATAAAGCCCTCGGAATTAGGAAAAATAAAGTTGGCAATATTTTGCTGACCTAAATCTGTAAGAGGTCGGCATCATGTCGGCAAAAAAAGTTTGATACAAAGGTTTAACCATAATACATAAAAGCGAGGTTGGCAATTTTTTGCCGACCTAAAACACTTCTAGGTTGGCATTGCCTAACGCCGACCCTGATTCCGAGGGTTGTATATATATGCAGGCCTCAACAGGAATGGCAGGTGCCTCCACACTCGTGTAAGTCAGTTGACACGGTTGAAATATAGTTTGTGCAAATATAAATTTCATGTTTTTCAGAGTCGTATTTTACTTACGTAAACAAAAATAGTAAAAAAACATCTAGCACGTTTAAAATAAAATATAGTTTTAACAAGTAAGGAGCCCACAGTAGAATTAATTCTATTTCCACATTCTATATACTAAAATGTATCATCTATTTAAAGGGATTCGAAACTCCCAACACATCTTGTGTTCATATTAAAGATAATGTTAAAAAGATAGGTTTGAACCAAGTTTTTTTGGTTAAAAATAAATAATGAATGCATAACGAGAAAAAATAATATTGTTGTTTTAGCCGAAGCTTACCTTCTCCATTTTTTTCAATAACTCAGAGTCTTTAAATTATACGTTGCAATCTACAGACTTTGGCAATTTCTTTGAAGTGGGTTTAATTTATAAAAGTTTTAGCATTTAAGGTCACGGTAGAATTTTAACAAATGAAAAGTGTAAATAAACAAAGCAGCGTTTTTCTACTTTAATTCAAAAAGTATTTGTTTAACATACAGCAAAATAACTTATACAACAAATTTTTGTAAAAAATAAAAAAATATTTTTTTTTTACCGATATCTTATTGATTTTTAGATTTATATATCTTACTTATAATTCTTTTGTTTTTAAATTAAAACAAATATTAAAGCTTTACTTACAAATCTTATAATTTTTATATGGGTGTTTTACATTATATAGAAAGTTATGTAGATGGTTTCTCATTTTTACACTATGATATTTTTTGTTTTTCCGTCAAAAAAAAGTATCAATTACTTTCTTAAGTAATTGTTAATACTTTTTTTTAGTTTATCAAATATCTCTAATTAATTAGAGATATTTGATAAACTGTTAAATTTTTTTATAAAAAATTTTTGATTACGCTGATTTAATTTAAATTGCTAAATTTGCTAAATTGGATATGGATAAAAAGAAAATGTCATTAAAATTTGCACTTGATTTTTGATAATGAAACTTTCAAAATGTTTGTAAATCCATACCAATTAGAACCTGTAAAGTTTGTGAAAAAAAATTACAATAAACTAAATAATACAGTTGACAGTAGTTTCAGATATGAAAATTTGTTAAAGGATATGTGAGATTCTGGTTTTGCATTACAACTTGTATTACAATATTAAATATAATATGTTTTTTAACGCATGTTACAACATTTTGACAATTTAAACTTCCATCTACCTTGAGTTGCCATTAACTAATGTGTTAATTATAGCGTTAATTAATAATAGTTTGTCTGTATTTTTGTTAAATGTTATTGTATTATACATTTATTTTTTCCCGTTCAATACAAAAACATTTAACAAAAATACAGACAAACTATTATTAATTAACGCTATAATTAACACATTAATTAATGGCAATTCAAGGTAGATGTTAGTTTAAATTGTCAAAATGTCAGAATGCGCATTTTGACAATTTAAAAAACATATTATATTTAATATTTCCCAATTTATGTGTCGTATTCAAGATTTGTCTCTTAACATGGAAAATTAAAAAACTAACAAAATTGACAAATACAAGATTTCAAGCAATTTTCTCTTCCAACTCTCATTTATTCAAAGAAAAGTTACAATTAAACTTTTTATTTCTCTTATTTGAAAGAAGAACGAGTGACGCTGAAAAAAATATTCCAAACAATTCTTATTCATTTAAAGTTTAATTACATGAAACTTTTCTTTCCCTTTTGTTCTCCTGTTTTTTATAAAAAGAGTGCGCAATGAAATAAAAACTTTGCTTTCTTAACATAGAATTAAACTTAAAGATAAAATTAAATTAGAAATAAATCAACAGTGAGCAAAGCAACTAACAGTCTAATCTGGGACTATTTTGATATTGATGAAAATAATCAACATAAACAACAACAATAATCAAATAAACAACACAATATCGCATAATTATATGGGATTTTTATTTTTTGCTTAGTAGTTTTAAATAATAAGTAAATTTAGTTCAAGTTAATATTTTAATATTTACAGTTGCAATATAATAAAAATAAGCTTTTAAATGTTGAACTTTTTATTTAATTATTTATCTTTTAGCTACATTTGTTATAAAAAGACTTTTTAGTACCCCCATCATTAATATCATTTGTTTAAATATTTTGCTACAAGATTATTCAAACTAAGTCTTTTCGTTTGACTTCCCGAACTTCATGCAAAGCAAATTCAGACAAAATGTTGTCTAACCAATTGAAAATGTTGCTACTAATTTTATACGGCTAATTAATATAAAACAATTTTTTATCAGAGTCTTGATTGAGATAATAAATATTCATCATTTAATAATATAAATATAGCGCGATAACAATTTATAGCAACTAACCAGCATAAGATATTTAAGGTTTTTAATATCTTTTTAAATGTAAAAAGTAGAAAATAAATAACTAAACAAATGATGAAAAAATTTTTGAATACAAAAAAATTAAAATTTTTCCAGTGTTTTGTCTAAAGTCTATCGTGATGTCAAATACTAAAACTTTTATGAATTAAATGCGCTTCAAAGGAATCGCTCAAGTCTGTAGATTGTGACGTATAATTTAAAGACTCCGAGTTATTGAAAAAAATGGAGGTGAGCTTTGGCTAAAACAACAAGATTACTTTTCTTCGGTATGCATTCATTATTTATTTTTAATCATAAAAACTTGGTTCAAACCTTTTTTTTTAGCATTATCTTTAATATGAACACAATGTTGGGATTTTATGTGTTGGGAGTTTGGGATCCCTTTAAGTATTAGACCAATTAAAAAATTTTTGGTCCTAAAAATGGACCATATTTTGGACATAAAAATGGAATTGATGGGTTGATGTGCAACTAAGAATAGTTTAGTTTTTTTCTCAAAACCAGTTTACTTGGACTAAGCGCATTTTGAAAATGGGCTTCTCAAGTATTACAAAATGACACAACGATAAAAAAAAAAATTGTAAAAAATTGTTTATTCATTGTTACATATTTGTAAGTGTCGTTAATGTAAAAAAGTTAGTAGTTGAAGATTTTTTAAAAATTTTTTGACATAACTGGTTTTAAATAAACTTGATAAGTTTAAATGACCAATATAAGTATTTCACTAAAAAATATCTTTAAAAAAACTTCAAAAAAATCACAACAATAACGAACTAAAGAGCTTTAGTATTTTTTAAAATTTTTTTTAATTTTATATTTTTAATTAAAAGCATTTTAAAAATAAAATATACTTTTTAATGCATAAAATTTTTCATAGTTGCATTTTTAACTAAGAATCTTAAATACAACTTATTCAAAGTAAAAATAAAAGATACAAGCTTATTTAAAAGTTTAATTAAATCTTTTTTAATAAACAGCAACCCTTGGAATCGGGAAAAATGTGGTCGGCAATAAATTTTGCCCTTAAATGTTAGAGGTAAAACAATTAGACACAAAGGGGTTACCATAAAATATAGAAAAGAGTTCAACAATTTTTTGCTGAACTCAAACACTTTTAGGTCAGAAGTAAGGTCGGTATTGCTGAATGCCGACCCTAATTCTGAGGGTTGAAACAATAATCAAAATTTGATTGTTTAAAATTGAATTACATAACAATTTTAAATTTTTTGAATTACTTTTTAAACAATTTTAAAAAGTATCAAACTCATTCATTCAAGTTTTAATTACAAAAGTTATTTCTTATAAATAATTGCTTTCTGGCTTTGAATTATTTGGCTATTAAATTTTTAAACTCTATTAAAATAGAGTTTAACATTGTCAAACATTGTCTTTAACAATATTTTTCTAGAAAACATTAATAAAAAGCTTAATGTTTTTTAGAAAAATATTGTTAAAGACAATGTTTGACAATGTTAATGTTATAAATGAATATCAGACAAACAATTGTTGCTTATGATTGTTTTGCTAATGTATTTATATGATACAAGACATTACAGTTAAAAACTCAAAAAAACTATTACTAAAACATAATTGTAATTTATCCATGAGCTTATTTATTTAAATATTAAAATAAGCCCGCGAAAATGCTTATTGCCCAACATATCTGTTTTAAACAAGCAATTCACCGCTCTCATTTATTCCTGCTTAGGCTTAAAAATATATATATATTAACATTATATATAATATATATACATAATATATATACATATATATATATATATATATATATATAATATATATACATATATATTTTATATATATATTTTATATATATATATATATATATATATGTATATATATATATATATATATATATATATATATATATATATATATATATATATATATATATATATATATATATATATATATATATATATATATATATATATATATATATATATGTTAATTAACTTCAATTGTTTTTTAATTTCCTTATAGGCATGTGCAGACAAGTTAAAAAGAGAAATAGAGGATTATGGGTGTCCACCTGTTTTTCCAAATGAAACAGAGAAGAAAGACATCAGCAATGTTAGTATTTATCTATTGCAGATTCAAATTGTTTCAAGATTGCTTATACATACATACATACATACATATATATATATATATATATATATATATATATATATATATATATATATATATATATATATATATATATATATATATATATATATATATATATATATATATATATATATATATATATATATATATAATTGATTAAAAACATCATGTTCGGTTTTATATTATTTTTATTATTAAATGGTGACATTTCGGCTTATATAGTATAAACCATTATCAAACTGAAAAAACTGTTATACAAAATTCATAAAAACTAAAAACAAAAATGATGTCATTGCAACGTTGCACATTTAACAAAAAGTAGTCTCCAATGGCGTGTCATCACTAAGTTACTATTGTCGCGATTTAAGATAAACTCCTGTGATTTAGAGCACTGTAAGCGTTGTATTTCAATTGCTTCTCGAATTTTACGCATATAGTTATTAGGAGTAATAGAAATAATTTTTGGTTTACTAAAGTTAATTGAAGCACGACAATGATGGGCGTGTTCAACTATTCCTGATGCATCCCAATTACTTTTAGCTATGTTTCTTTCGTGTTCATTAACACTTGTGGAAACTTTTTTTCTAGTTTCGCCGATATAACTTGCACCAAATGAACAATTTAACTGATAAACACCAGGATAACTATATTGGATGCAATGTTGATTTTATTGTGACATAAAATATTAAGTAAAGATTTACTATAGCGAAAAACGGTTTTAATACCTACTCTACGAAACTCTGTTATAAGTATAATGCTTAATTTCGGTATCCATGGTAGTATGACGATTTTTCCAGGGTCTATTTGCTGGTTTATTGCATTTTTATGTGATAATATAACTATCACATAAAAATGCAATAAACCAGCAAATAAAATGGGTACACTAAATGTCCCCAATAATGCTAATGTCCCCGTAAGTGTTAGTTTTTTTTTTAAATCTGTTCCCGTAAGTGGTAAACTAGGTTTATATATATATATATATATATATATATATATATATATATATATATATATATATATATATATATATATATATATATATATATATATATATATTTATCCATTTGATAAAGGAATAGGATTTGTAAGAATAGAACATGATAAGGCAATTGAAAAAATAGGAAAACAGATTGGTCCAACAAAAATTATTAGTATTGATCCCACTCTAAGTTATGCAGCTAAAATAAAGTCTTTCCTTTCAAAACTTAACAAAAAGCAACGTTTTTCTAATGATGAATATGAAAGCGTATACCCGAGTGATCCTGTCCCACCACATTTGTATGGGCTAATTAAAGCTCATAAAGAAGAAAAATCTTATCCGATGAGAGTAGTTGTATCAACTATTGGCACACCTTGTTATGGAATTTCGAATTACTTGGTTAAAAGAATACAACCGGTCTTAAATGAAAATTCTATTAGGTTAAAAAATTCAAAAGACTTTATTAACAAGACTAAGTCGTGGTTGATTGACAAAGATGAAATACAGGTATCCTTTGATATTGTGAACTTATACCCATCAATACCATTAAAAGAAGCAACTTTAATACTTTTAGATCAATTAAATAAAAGCGTTTCTTACAAAAACTCAACTAAACTTACTTTAACTGAAACAAAACAACTAACTGAACTTTGTTTGTTTCGTTGTTATTTCTTGTGGAATGGTGAGATTCTTGAGTTGGAGAATTCAGGCCCAATTGGATTGTCTTTTATGGTTGTTTTGGCTGAATCTTTTTTACAATACCATGAGGAAAAAGCAATAAAAATGGCAACGACAATGATTCCTTTAATTGATGTTAAATCTTTTCATAGATAAGGTTTTCTAACTTAAATTAAGCGAAACAGTTCCAAACAATTCTTAACAGACAACGTCCTTTTTTAAAATATACTATTGAGGTTGAAAACAAAAATAAGATACTTAAATTTTTGGATATAACTATTATTAATAATACCCAAGGAAAATATGAGTTCAAGGTTTACAGGAAAGATGCAATAACCAATATCCAAATCAAACCTCATTCTTATCATGATCCTAAAATTTTAAAAGCAATATTTAAAAGATACATACACAGAGCACACTCAATATGCAGCGAAAACCATTCAAAAGATGAGATAAATTTTTTAATTCAAGTGTTTACTGAAAATGGATGCAATGAAAAAATGCTTAAAGATATTTCTAATCAGGTTCGAAAAAAACCTTTTGCGAACAAAAATGAAATTCCATCAAACTCTAATAACCTTCCTACAATCTCTTTACCATGGATACCAATAATATCTCCCAGACTTAAAAGAATATTCAGAAAAGCTGGTTACAGAACTGTTTTTAAATCAAATGCTAACCTTAAAACGCTATTAACGTCAAAAATAAGTCTAAATTACCATGCAACAGCACCCCAGGAACCTATTTAATTAAGGGCTAATGCTCCAAAGTATACGTTGGTGAAAAAAAACTTCAAATACGAACAAGGGTTCAACAACACCAAAAATTTTTGACTGAAGGCAAGTTAAACTAGTCTGCATTAGCTTTGCATAAAGTAAATTGTAATGAGGACATTGAATGGAATAAAGCAATAACACTTAAAGTTGAGGATAAAAAATTTGAAAGGAAAGTCCGTGAGGCCTTAGAGATACAAAAACATCAATGTTCTCCTACGTACGGTGGTATGAATTTGGACAATGGACAATATTTAAAAACAAATTTTTGGACTTTATTTTTTTCATACTTAGGTAAAAGAAGCCATTATAAAGGTGACGTCAAAATTTAAAAATTTTTTGTTGTTATTTAACGGTCACAATTTTTGTAATTATATTATATTATATGCTGATGATGCCGGTGCCTATAATATGGCGAAAATTTCAAATAAATTATTTAGTATTGAGAGAATTCGTATTATCTGATGTTTTAAATTAGTTTATATATATATATATATATATATATATATATATATACATATATATATATATATATATATATATATATATATATATATATATATATATATATATATATATATATATATATATATATATATACTCTTGCATGGTAGTCAGAAAGAGTTTCCCATAAACTGTAGTTTTAAAGAGCGCGTTAATAAACCAGACCAGAAAAAGTTTAAAAACTTAAATTTTTTTTTTTTTTTAAATGATAGACTGCCTGCCCAAACTAAACCCTCAGTCGATGTAGCAGCACTCCCTTGCGAGTCAGGCTATTTGTCAGTCGTTGTAGCAGCACTCCCTTGCGAGTCAGGCTATTTGTCAGTCGATGTAGCAGCACTCCCTTGCGAGTCAGGCTATTTGTCAGTCGATGTAGCAGCACTCCATTGCGAGTCAGGCTATAAGATAGTCGATGTAGAAACACTCCCTTGTAGCAGCAGGCTATAAGATAGTCGATGTAGCAACATTTACGCAAGTTTTAAAAATGTTTTTTAATAAAACAAAAACAAAAACACCACTAATTAAAAAAAACTTTCTAGTCGTTATTATTGCGGTTTTTTAAAAAAATTTTAAAAAACAATAAAATTTAATGTACTTTTAAATTTTATTGTTTTTTAATTGTTAATTATTATTAAATGGTATAACCACCACGACAATTAATTACAGGTAAAGACGAGGTAATTAAAATTGTAGTCGAAAGAGACTTTTTTTACATTAAAAGACTCTTTCGACTACACTATAAGGATATATATTCATATATATATATATATATATATATATATATATATATATATATATATATATATATATATATATATATATATATATATATGTATGTATGTATATATATGTGGGCAATTCAACGCCAGAAAATGAAAAAGTAGTCAAATTTTATTCTTTTTTAATTTTTAATTGGTAATTTTCTTGGTATAGACATAACTGAAAGGGAAGCTGTTGCTATGCTAGCCAAGTATATTGTAGAAACAGGCTTCAAATTGTACAACAAACAAAATCTTTTTGGTGATGCTCCTTTGTGTATTAAAATTTCATCAAAATGTTTTAAACAGATCACTAAATGACAGTCAAGGAATTTCTGTTTACTAATTCTAACCCACAACTTTTTCAAATCATCATCTTTTGGAAAACTAAAAACTGGGACTACTTCACCACCATAATAATAAGAGTTAAAACCAACAACACAGTATTTATTAACTATTATTATAATTAATAACGAAATAAGTAGCCATAAATAACATTACAAAGTTTGGTGAAGTTTGGTGATGGCTATTTATCCAACCCCAAAACTTTTATCCAGCGCCAGATTTATTCACTTAAAAGTTATAGCGCAATAATTAAAATATTTTAAGAAAGTTTGTCCATTTGATGGAATATACGTTTTTTCAACAGGCCTTCTATTTTTTTTTCGATTTATACAGAATAGAAGGCCGTGTATTTAAGTAGGCCATGCCTAAACATTTTTTTTTACTTAAAATTAAATTTTAGAAAAACAGCTGCATCAAAAATTTGCACAAAACATAATTTAAATTTTTTTTTTTTTTTACAACGCAAGTTAAGTCGCAGCGATTGTTTTTTAATAAACTCTATGTACAGAGATATAATTTTATTAATAGATAAATAAACTTTTAATAAATAAAGTATTTTTTTTATTTGTTACTCGCTAATTTTTTTTTTTCAAATAAAAAATCATTTGTAGTTGCAAAGCTGAAATTAAAAATTTAAGAAATAATCATTTTAAAAATTCAAAAATTTAACATATTTAAATTCATTTTTGCAAATGTCTATAAAAGAAAGAAGTTTGTTAATACCAAGCATTTTTGATAATGCAATTTTAAATTTAATTATTTAATATTAAAAAAAATAAAAGATAATAAATTATTAATAATAAAAAAGCTATTAAATAACATTTAACTTGTTTTGCGGTAATTAATATTATTGCAGTAATTTAAAAAAATTATTGTTTTTTTTTAATTTTTCCGTTGTTTTAATTTTAGTTTTTTTTTTGTTTTTTA